ATATATAAAACTTTAAAACATCACAAAAGAATACAATTAATATAAATATTATTTAAAAAACTATGAAGCAAAAAATAGAGAATCCATGAGAATGTTAAAGACCAAAGTCAGAATAACAGTTATCTATATAGTTGGAGAAAGAGTACTGAAACTTGGAAGGATAAACAGGAAGCTTGAGCTTCTATGCAATGTTTTACTTAAAAAAAAAACAACTTAAGCAAAAATAGGAAAATGTCTCTTAAACAAGCTAAGAGGTACTTATGTTATGTGTAATATTATTCCTTATTGTCCTTTATGTTTGTAATCTGTTTTAAAATCATGTTCCTTTTATAGTGGTTGCTAATTCTATTGCCTAGTAGTGCTAGTCAGGGAATGTGAATGCAAGAGGCCTTCCGGGGGCACTTTGGCGCTTGAGATCCCTTTCCTCTCCATCCTTAGTTACCTGTTGCCAAGTGGGAACTCAGACCTTGTATTGCCATCTGATTTTCCTAGAGAAATCAATAATCTGAATTTTTTAAAAATGTGAAATGTTCTGATTTTTTACGGTTGGCAACTAATTCAAATTAACTAAACAAAGTAAAATAAAATGCTATGAGGGTCCAAACCAAGAAAAAAAATGCCTGTGCATTGTATTCAGCCCGCAGGTTACTAGTCTGCCACCACCTCTGCTGTGGAATCTTCTGTCATGATCTATTTGTGTGGCAAATGTAGGCGAAATATTGTAAAGTCTTTTATTGTGAAAGGTGTTATTCAAGTGGAGAAGGTGAAAAATGTTCCACGGCTCTGCAGAAAAAGTGTACTAACCAGACTCCCTGGAGCCCTGCAGAGAAGAGCTTTGGCTGTGCTAAGGATGATTCTTAGCTTCTTGTATACTTTACAGTCTGCAAATCCTTCACTGTGAGGACCTCAGAAGTGAAGCCAGACTTTTTCATTGATTCCAAGGCTGTGTCAGCAAATGCCAGACCCAGCAGGCCCTTTCTATTGTATGTTAAGGCTCCAAACAGCTGAAAATAGTTTGTGCCAAGATCTCTACAAGTGTGACAAACACACGATCTTTTACATACCCCAGGAGACCAATTGAAGCTAGGAGACCACAGATCCCAGTCTCTGAATACAATTACCACACCTCTCAGGGCTGATGGCCATGATGTTTGTTTGTTTCTTTCTTTCTTTCTTTCACTATTATTTCCTCATCAGAAATGAAGCCTTAGATTGAAGGTTATTTATCCATGGGTTTTGGTTTAATTTTCAATTGAGTGTTTTGAACTGAGTATCTTTTTAAAAAAGAAACCATGGCCTGGATTTCTAGTTCTTACATTTTCTTATCAACATGTTCTCATGTAAGTGAATTACATAGTTTCTTCTTATACATTACCCAGTCCATTGAAGAGTTAGGTCACTATATTCTTTGGACAGAAACTGTGGTTATTAAAACCTCCTCACAAGTGCTGAAAAGTCCTTATGTTATAGAAATAACTTGTGAAACCTTTTATGGAAATAAATCATGCATCTTAATTTATAAGTTTTCAGACCAGAAAATCATTCCCTCTTAAAGGAATTTGATTCTGTTTCTGTATTGACAAATCCCTAATATTTTCCAATTCTTTATCACAATATTATTATGCCTTTGGATAGGATTCATATAGTAACATTGTAATATAGTATTAGCTATATGGGGTTGGAACTGCCAGATGGGGATAAAATGAACTAATGATCATATGATGTTATCATGAATATTTGTATCACTGACAGCTGCTATGATACCTTAGAAACAATTGGTGTAAAGGGACATTCATAACAAATTGAGAGTGCATTATACCAGAAGCAACAGTGGATAAAAGAAAATGAAGAATACTGATGTAGAAATCCTGCTTAGTGGGAAATAAATACAAAACCTTAGGATGAACCTAACAATTTTTACTCTGAAAAGAAATTTTTATTTTTGACTATATTCACAATGAAAAGTAATCAAATTCCTTGGAATTTTTTAAAGTAAAGAACTAAGTCCTCAAACTGACTAACTGCATTATTTCCAAATTAGCAGAGTTTCTCATTCTTTTGTTTTACATACAATTTTTACCTACATTTCCATCCATTTAACATTCACTGCTGAGTAATTCTCTTGGAGATCAGCTGTATGCAGAACTTCAAAAATGAGAGAGTTGGAAGATATCTTACATAATAAGGAAAAATTTTTTTCTCTCAAATATACACGTAATTCACACTAGACAGGGATTATTGGCCAATCTATTTTTTAAAACACAAACAAAACTAACAAAGAATTTGTCTATACCTATGTTGAGGGACTGTGGATAAACAAATAGAATATATTTAGGAATGGAAACACTAACCTGGATCATTCAGGGAAAATGAGCAAACCACCAGTGAGGAAAAGGAATGTTAACACACACTAAAGTTTCTTATACAATTGTATAGACATGTACTTTATTCTGTTGTTTAGAAGAAAAACAAATAATAAGCCCTGGCTTCCTTTTGCTATTTATTGAAATGACAAAGAACTAACAAACGTAATAATTCAGCTCTCAGTTGTTAGTCATGCTGTAACACAAAGGAGCCTGGGAAAGGAACACTCAGTCAGCCTATCATTTGTCTTGTCAGTGCCTTTCCATTCTCCTGCCTTGCAAACAAAACTGTAATTTTGTTTGAGTAGCAATCCCCAGCACCTGGCCCAGGGGATGATTTCTATTAGTCTCCATCAGACATAGGAATCTCATTCTTTATTGGACTACAAGTGAGCACGCAACCCATTTCCGGAAAATAAGGCAGAATCTCCATGGGGAAAAAGGTCTCTTTTCTGCCTGTCCCCTTCCTTCTTGCTTTGAATATTTTCATGCAATGCTGTAGCCATCATGTGACCACGGATAGGGACTGGAGGCACGGAAACCGAAAGAATTCCAGAGACATTGGCTAATACCCTGACATTGTTGAGCCTCAGAGGGTACTGCCAAATCTCCAGCTATCTTATTAAGTGAGAAAACAAAGTTCTGTGTGTTTAGACCCCTCTGACTTGGCCTAAAACTTACAACTAAAAACATTTTAACTGGTACATGCAGCATGAACAATTATGCTGAAAAAGAAAACCGGTAACAGTAAGTAACAAATGTTGGTTGAGTCACTATGTGCCAAGCCCTATATTTTTATCATTTGAGGCCTCACAATAATTCTATGAGGTATACTATCATTATCTTCATTTATCAATAAGGATAGTGAGATATAGAAAGGTTAGAGATATGACTGGTAAGTGGTAGAATTAGGTGCTTAACTACTATACCCCAGCAGTCTTGTTTGATGGAATTACCACTGTAACATTTTTATAAATCAACTTTAAAAAATTACTTGTATTTGAACTCGGGTAAATAAATGATTATAGATGAAATTGTGAAAGAATATTCTCAGGTAATGAAATCTAATAGAAGTATAATGTGTTTGTAGTTGTTTCTCACTCCAGTCTCTGTTTATTCTGCATTGTTGTCGCTAATAGGCTGTGATTGTACAGGTTTTTGGCTCCACTGTTACATAATTTTTGGCATGATTTTTTGGCAGAATAGTGACTTGAATTCAAAAGCATTAAATCTTAGTAAAGCACAGGTACAGAGAATCTTTCACACATCCAACATGTAGGCAAAAAAACCTCTTAATTTAATATAAAATGATATCAGATCATCAAAAATACAATTTAATGGGAAGACTGACAAATAGGCAAAACTAAGATTACTACCACCAATGTCCAATTAATGAATTTTCATTTTGTTTATGACTAGAAGCCAAGAAGCAAGGAAAAGTTGGCTTTTTCAACACCAAGCATCTGAATAGCAACCATCACCAATGGAGGGGAAATTGCATACCTGGGAAGTAGAAATTTGGTACTAAAACTGATTCCCTATATGCTTCCAATGAGTCATTATAAGAAAACCAAAATTTAAAGACATGATACAAAGCCATATATTGGGCACTCATTTATAGTCTCTTAAATGCATTAGCTAATATAGTTCTATCATGAACATAAAATGTATAAACTTTAGTTGTCTCTTCTTTTTAGGAGTTCATTTGCTAAGTTCAATTTCTCTTGGCTTTCCTCAGAGTATTTACTTTTAAAATGCATTAGATTCCTACAGAAACAGGCTCACAGACATAAAAAACAACCTTATGGTTACCAGGAGGTAGAGGGGATGAGAAGGGATAAATTGGGAGTTTGAAATTTGCAGATACTAACTACTATATATAAAATAAATAAACAAGTTTATACTGTACAGCAGAGAGAACTATAGTCAATATCTTGTAGTAACCTATAATGAAAAAGAATATGAAAATGAATATATATGTGTATGTATGACTGAAACATTATGCTCTACACCAGAAATTGACACAACATTGTAAACTGACTATACTTAAATTGAAAAAAAAATGAAAAAAGTGCATTATATTCCTGCCTCATTCTTGTATTTAGACCCCTTACTTCCATCAACACTTTAATAATAATATGATATATTTCCAGACAAGCTTTTATTTCATTTTGGCTTAAAGATATCCTTTTTATAGAACTGGGCTTATTAAGATAATTTGTTTTCTTTTATTAAAAGATCATATGGATAAAGACAGAAATAAGATGGAAGGGAATGTGTCTCTTTATAAAATACTGATAAAACTATCATGCTCAAGGGTAATGTTGACTGGAAAAAACCTCCAATGTAAGAGCTATGAGTTGAGTTTCATTCAGTGTCTTACTGAGAACTGTATCCTGGGAGAAAGCCTCTGTGATAGCACTGAGGAAATTTTCCAAAGAGGTATGATTTCAGCTAAAGAGTCTATACAATCCAACATACATCATGGTAGAAAGTTAGTCCTAGTCATGAGGAACAGATACTTCAGTTAATAATTTTAGTGCTTTTCTGAGTTTTCTGCAAGAATCTGGGTTCATAAAAATTTTTCCTGAAATATATCTAACAATCTAAGGGCCTGTTTTGTCTGTTTTCCCAAAGCTCAGAATGCCTCATCCTGTTCTTTGTCCTGAATTCAGCAACTGCCATGGCCAATGACTTAATCCGTGTAGAACCAGGTGGTAAGTGACATTCTTCCTTTTACAGTAACTTCTTTTAGAATGTACATTAATTTTTGGAAACAATTTAAAAACATCCTTGGTTATCAAAACTACACTCATTAATATCTTAAAATGGCAGCTGCAATAATACTATGCATATAATCAATTTTTAAGGTGCTTTATTTGTTCAGAAGAGGTACAGGCAAAATTGGAAGTAGTTCAGATTTGTCTTCTCTGCTTCCCTCTAAGGTTTGGATTTTTTTTTTTGTAGTGTAATGGAAAGCCTATATTCACTGTGGTCCTTTGGGCAAGTTCTACAGCATGTCTGAGTCAACTTTCCTCATTAAAAATAAGAAAAGGGTTCTACAGACTCAGAGGTTTGTTTTGTTTTGTTTTGTTTTTTGATAATTGCCTAAGCTAATGCTGTGAAACAATTTTATAAATATTAAACATTCTAAACTTCTTTTTTATCCATCCCCCCTGAGTCATCAGAACTTACACATCATGTGTCATTGTTTAGGGAACCGATGTGACTAGCTATCATCTGTTATAGTTATTTGTGTTTTAAGTTATTTTAGCTGAAGGTAAGAAGGGCAGCTGATGTTAATCCTGAAAAGCCCAAATTTGCCAGCCTTCTAGAGTAAATCTTAACAAATTTGCTCAGCTCCCTATTCTATGAGTTCTGGGAAATTCAGGACCCTCCACAATTTCCAGGTGTTTCTTAGGATGATGGTGGCATGAGAGAGGCTTGCAGGATGCAGTCATCTCTCACTCCCAGTCTCAGTCTCCATTCACTGCCTTGCCTCTGTGACCTTTCTTTGTCTGAAACCCCTTGTTTCTCCCAAAGCTCCACTAACAAAAGACTATTGGGTGAAGAGCAGTTTTTTAATTAAACAAAATATTTGGGGAGAAGGACTATGTCCAACTTAGGAGAGGAAAAAAATAAAATTAATTATTAAATGATTATTTTAAACTGTGCTGTCTCCCATCTTTGGATATTTCTCATTTTCTTTCCTCTTCCACTGTGTCCCTCTATTCCCTGTCCAGAACCCCCAAATCTCCAGTTTGTACCCCTGTGCCCAACCAATTGAGAATTTCTGTTAATATATTATGCAGAGCAATTTTTCTTTTTCTCCTTTGATTTTTCTCCTTCCAGACTATGTCTAAGGACCCTGCTATCACTTAAAAACATTAAGATATTTTCCTAAATAGAAGAACAGGGTAGAGAGCTAAGGAGAAGCACTGAAATTAGAGGTTACCTTTAAAGTGGCTAAAAGTACTCTGCAGATTTCTTCCATGCATTATTGCATTTAACTTCACAACAACCTTGTGAGATGGGTACTATTATTATCATAATTTTGCAGAAGTGGAACCTGAGGCCAAATATATATTTGCTCACCTGTTTCTGTTCTTTTAATATTTTGTTAGGGAGGAAGGGTTTCATATAAACTAGATTTAAATGATATTTTGATCTAGAAGAGTGAGCTGAGATCCCATCCAATAGAAAACAGAAATAATCAGTTCCCCCTAATGGAAAACAATTGGAATAAAAATTTAGTTTGTGTGTACGTGTGTGTGTGTGTGTGTGTGTTTATGTGTGCTTAGCTGTCTGTACCCTTTATTGATTTTATACATATACTGTAATTAACCTTATGCCATATTTATGCACATTATATACTTGATCTTATCACTCATTCTTCTATTTATACTTATTCATTAGTTGAATAGTCTTTATTCAACTGCGAATTGCCACAGCTATGGAGGAAATTGACTTCCATACTTTCGTATCTGATGGGAATTCATGTGTCTTTGTCAAATATGCACAATTAGTTTACAATAGTGCCAGCATTGTTACTTCTTTTTTCCTTTTTGGCATTCTCAAATTATATGGGTTTTTTGTTTATTATTTTTAAAATATTTGGGAAAATTCAACATGATTTTGTGGCATGATGACAGAGAATTGGGAATGTTATGTTCTGATCTTGTTACTCTCCCCAAATTCCTAAGAGATCTTAGGCAATTGAAAAAATTTTTCTCAGTCTCTAACACTTTATTTTAAATTGAGGAAAATGCCTAGCTGTGTAAGAGTACAGAATATACTAAGTAAGAGATGATTTTAAAGGGATTTTAAAGATGATTTAACAGGATTTTGCAATATGCAAAATTAAAAGATACTTTATATATAACAATAGTATGTGTTCTGCTTATGGATTGCCAAATGTAAATGCTCTTAAACAATGTAAGAGGACTTTAATTTACACTCCAAATAACCTTAGTCACAAAAATTCTAATCAAAAATGAAAGAATTTTTTCTTTTTATCAGTTAGTCACACACACAAAGAGCTAAATTATTCTACAAAGATAATAGAAAATTTGTTATGAAAAACAGAACTTTTAGAAAAATGTATTTGTTATTTACTTCCATATCTTTGAAAGTACATGGTTGTGATGCCACTTTTGCTTGTTTCAGTATTAGGCATTGTCTACTCACATCTTACTGGGGCTGGGGATGTGGCTTTCTTTCCTCTGCCCATCCCATCATACATACACTTGCTTCCAATCCCTTATCTTTCCACTATAGTTAAAGCACGATTTTAATTATATCATTGTTCAGTGTTCAGTATTCACATTAGTATAACTTTGTGAGTTGTATTCAAACCTGTGCCATTGAAAAGACTATAATTACTCTGCCTTTACTACTAATCTACATTTTTCCTGAAAGTTAATATTGCTTCATTTTTAAATTTTTAATATATCGTATCATAAATTTAAATTCAAACCTTGAACTCCCTGCCAATTGTCTGACTCTCCACTTAAGAGTTCAGAAACATCAGCTATTATGTTAATCTTATCTCCTTGAAAAAATCGTTTCTAGAATTCTTACCCTGACTGTTTCTACCCCTGGGGTTCATTTCTTTCACCTTGCCTCTTTCCAAGTCTCCTCTTTTTTCTTCACTCTCATGATGCTTCTCTCCAACAGCTTTCTAAGTTAAATGACAGGAAATTTTCTGAGAGCTTGCATGTCTAAAAATGTCTTTATTTTGTTCTCAATGTACTAATAGTTTATAGAATAATATAATTCTCCATTTGAAGTCATTTTGCCTCAGAATTTTGTGGGCATTGCTCCATTATTTACCTCCCAGTGTTTATATTAAGAATTCCAAAGCCTTCCTGGTTCCTGTTCTTTTGTTTGTGAAGTGTTTTTTTGTCTTTGGAAATTGTTGGCTTTTTGCTTTATCTATATAGTTTTCTGATTTTTGCTGACACTTGCCTTGGTCTGGGTGTCTTTTCATTTGTTGTGCTGGCTGATATGTAAGCACTATTTTTCTAGAAAGGATGTTTTCTTCTCTGAGTTTCTAGTTCTCTTTTTCTCGAACTTTGGAAAGGTTAAGTGGTAAAATCTGAAGTCAGACTTCCTGGGTTTGCCTTGACTTTCTACTTATTAGCAGTGTGACAGTTTTTTTTGTGTCTCAGTTTTCCCACCAGAATAATAGAAATAATTAAAGTACCTACATCATAGGCTTTTATGAGTAGTGTATGATTTAGTATGTGGAATGCCTGTATGTATATCATAAATGTCTATCATTATTTTTCATCTCCTGGACTGTTATTCATTCTTTTTCTCTCCACCTGCCAATTCTTTGTCTTTTTGCTACACTCTCTGAGAGATTTTCTCAACTGTATCTCCTGCTTATTTTTTTTAAACCTTCTTTCATATTTTTAACTTCCAAGAACTCTTGTTGGTCTCATGTTTCACCATCTTCATACCCTCTGAGGATATTGACGATGTTTTGTCAAGTTTTCTTGTTGCATAGCCTCTGTTTCTATCAAAGTGTTGTTTTGTCCCTATCTTTCTTTTTTTCCCTTTTTTTTCTTTTTTATGTTCCATGTTAAAGCCTTTCCTTAAATGTCCAGTAATCATGATTATTTGTTCATATGTAAGGACAGAGGACTGAAACACTGATTTGAAGATCTGAGCATGGGGGATAATGATCAAACATGAACTTCACAGAAAGATAATTTGGCTTGGACATTTTGTTGATTTTCTTCCAATTTCAGAATCTTTAGATATTTAGATGTCTTTGGGAACAACCATTCCCCCTGAAGAGACTCTTCCAGTGTTCTTCCTGGAGGGTTAAAGCCTGGCTTCCAGTGTTCCCGGAGCCAAACAGACAGAAAGGACTAGACATCTCAGAATCCTGCTTTCAGTAAGGTACCACTTAATCAACGACTGTCCAGTGTCTGCCAGTCCAGAGCCCTGCTGTATTATCCCTTCCAAGCAATAAACCTCTGGTCTTCTATTGGAATGAAGAGGGCAGTCTGGCAACTGCATAGAGAGAATGTGCCACGGGTCACCAATTCCTGACATTTTAAAGGGTTCTGTAAAATAAACTAAATTCATTCTTTACTGCTCCCACTGCAGGCTTGGGATATAACTTTCTCAAGTATGCTAGCTCAGTACCACTTTTCCATCTGCTTTCCAGCTCTTCTAAAATTTTGTGCTATTCTCCCTCTTGTGTTTGCCCTTATCCTTTTGAGTTTATCTCTTTTTTAAAATCCATTTTCTACACTAATCAAAAAGATACATGCACCTCAATGTTTATAGCAGCATTATTTACAATTGCCAAGGTATAGAAACAACCTAAGTGACCATCAATAAATAAATGGATGAAGAGGATGAGATATATATATATATATACACACACACACAATGGAATACTGCTCAACCATAACAAAGAATGAGATTTTATCATTTGCAGCAACATGGATGGACTTGGAAGGTATTGTGCTAAGTGAAATAGTCAGAGAAAGACAAATAATGTATGATATCACTTATATGTGGAATCTAAAAAATATAACAAACTAGTGAATATAACAAAAAAGAAGCAGCCTCACAGATATAGAGAACAAACTAATGGTTACCAGTTGAGGTGGGGAAGGGCAATACAGGAGTGAGGGAGAGGGAGGTGCAAACTATTGGGTGTAAGATAGGCTCAGGGATAATGTACAACACAGGTAAT